TCACAAACACAGTTCAAAATCAAGGTGGATATTCTAAAATACAGAGCATGTAAAACAACCACAGGGTGAGGTCAGGAGAAAAATCAGAAATGAAGCAATGTAAGTTACTACAGTTTTACTTAAAGTTAGAACTTTAACTTGCAGAGTCTCTATGTATCAAATAAAATTAACCTGCTGTACATAAAATAAGAACATAGAGAACCGATGGAGACAGACTGATAGCAAGAAAGAGTAATAAAAGAAAGATGTGGTTCTGTTGGGAATAACTGCTCTAATTCCCTCCCACTCATTTCAGCAGTAAAGAAAAAAACTGACTTTCTTAGCACCATCTGAATCTGCTAATTAGCAACATAATTCCGGCCTGATGTTCATTGTCTCAGTAATGGCTTTCCTACATTAACTCTCAGTATAGGAAGCAAACAAGTAAGCATGAGCTATGGAAACATCTTAAGCGATTTCTAAAGTTTTAGGATATCTAGACTGAAAGTATACTGCTATTCACGACTTAAAAAGAAAGTCAAGCATAAGAACATATCTTCAGTCCACAGACAGAGAATGGAGAGAAAGGTAAAAGAGATAATAAGGGAGTGAGTGATTCTGTTTATAGACTTGACTAGTTGACTAGCATGCAATTATGGGACCTGTTTCCGGTGTGTTCTCCATAACAATAACTGGTGTGCACCACACAAGGATCTGTTTTAATAAATGGGACCTCGTCAGGAGGCAGAATAATGACAGCCTGGAATGGCAGCATAATTTCGCACGGTGAGGCTAGATGTGGACACCGCTGGCTGCAGCATTTCTATGGCACACAGCATTTAGAGCAGCTGCTCGGCTTGGATAAGCAGTGCAAAAGGTAAATGGAGTGGCAGCTTGTTCTGTCATGAGTCCCACTGAGCTAATTAATTAGTCTGCACTTCTGCATTAGCAGTGTCTCAGCAGAGTGCTAGGGAGATGGGAAGTCTGAAAGAGCTTGCTCTTGAAGGAAACATACATCCAGACAATGGCCCACATACTGAGGACTGCTCAATGGCAAAAAGGTAATTGGAAATTTCTTTTAAAAAAAAAGCAAACGTAAAGGGACCTGTCCATGTCACAGCTCTTTTGATAGAATGTGTGTTGGTTATCCATATAATGACATAGTTTATTATGAAATCCCCAAATAATGATAAATCAGTCAAAGCAATAAGAATAATCTCTATTGCATTCATTCTCAAACTTAGACTGACTTTAGATTTTACCTGGGAAACATTAAAACTACAGATGCTGAGGCCAAACCCCAGGAATTTTGATCTAATTGGTGTGAGTTAGAGCCTGTCCGTGGGGATCTTTTTGAAGTTTCTAAAGTAATTCTTACGTGTAACCAAGGTTGAGGACCACGACTCTAGTATGTTCAGTCATCTGCACAAAATGAATGGTATGCAACCTTCCTGACATGTTAAAAGCACTTGGGACACTTTAAAAACAATCAGATTTTAATCAAATTAAAGTCTGAGTTTGGAAGTATTCAAAATTATTAATTTATTAAAAAGACAAGTAATAGTTACCAAAATGCACCAAGATCCACACTTAGCAATAAGGAAACAGATGCAAGATTGCTCCTTGTTCAACAAATATAAGTATTTCCAAAGTAGTTTATGGTTTAAAAAGGATTTATAATTGATGGGTTGAATATTTTTGAAAGATGAACTCTGCCTCTTGCACAAGGCCTATTCCCATAGAAGTATTTGAAAAGTGGGGAAAACTTTTTGAGACACACTATCTTATGATTGCAAATCAGATTATAAATCAGAAAGGCAGAATGAAGGTACAGAGAGCTGAGTGGGAATTAGACAGATCTGACTTTGCCACTAGTTTGTTGTGCAACTTCAGGAAAGTTATTTGATTTTAGATTTATGTATCAGAGAAACAATGTTTGCTCCAACTATCACACAATCTTGTTTTGGATATCGAGTCAATTCAATCAAATAAGATAACAGATATCTAAATGCTTTGCAATAGATCAAGATTTACAAAAGTAGTTTCATGAGTAATGTGAAAAATGGTGATAAACCAGACCAAAGTCATGAGTTTGCTGAGAAAAATCCATCAAACTGATAAAATATGTATGCTGTTTATCATGACACCCTTTCATTTCAAAATACTTCCATAACTTGCTACATGTACTAAGATGAACATATGTTTAATATCAATTATATAGTATATTTAAATGACATCAGGGTGGTGTGATGAAACTTTTATATTAGCATAATCAATTACTTATATTACAGTAATTAATTATATGGATTATTATTAAACTTGTTATGTGAAATATTTTGTGTCAAGAACTAGCAACATTTAATTAAATCATACTTTCTGTCCTTTAAGAATCATAGTCTAGTTTGTTGATATACACACACATATCTATCTATTTACCATCTATCTCTCTATCTAATACTATAGTGTAAAATTCAGTAGGTGATATGAATTAAAGGGCTAAGGAACCAGAGGAGGTAAAACTCACACTTTTGGAAGCAGGTTTCACAGATAAAATGACATTCAAATTGTTCTCAATAATGAGTGGGAGTTTGCCAGAGAGGACAAAGAACCTCCTAAATAGGAAAAACAGCAAGTGAAAACACAAGTAATAGTAAAAATGTACAATGTGTCTGTAATGTCGCAATCCTCCTCTTGAAAGTTTCTTTGATATAGTTAATCTAATCTAAACTGTGTGGATTTTTTCCAAGCATCTTTCAGATGGACTATTTTATGTCTTTACAGATGGTCTGTTCTCAAGAAATTAATTGTACAAATATTGAAGTCAATTTTACATTTTAGCCAAATAACTTTCTGACTACTGACTAAATATTCCAGTACACTTTGTAGGTCAACTCTTGTGGTAACAGCTATTTAATTTGACCTTGAGCTCAACTCTACATCTTTGGAAAACATATCCATGCACTCACACGGAATGATTTGGGAATCTGAATGACAGAATCTGAATGTAATGTGTTTAAAAATGATACTTTATTAATATGAACATACAGAAGGCAGTATGTTAGTTTACTAATTTTGTAAAGGTATAATCATAAGTTTTCTACATATGTAACCTGATACATATACAATTCACATGATCACTCCAATCTAGCAGCAAATATGTTTTTGCCTTGAGTGGAGATTCCCCTTCAAAGAAGAGGCAGCAATATTCTCATCAACATATTCCCCCTTAGATTTCTATGAGACTGTAGTTCTGTACCTGGCAGATTGTGTATATAATATATTTAGAAAGAGACAAGATAGAATTAAGATAAAAATGTAAAAAAAAAAAACTACAACAATTTAGAAGTATAAATATAAACAGAACTCATTGACAAGAAAACTATGAAATACTGTTGGGAAATGTCTTCTTTCATATTAATATGGAATGAAGAGATTAATCCAATTTTTTGAATTGGGTTTTTACAGTTCTAAAATAGGTAGATGGGGCAATTAGAGAAAGTAGATCTGTTCATTAGAAAAAGTTACCTACAGAGATGTTAAGTTACAGTTGCTTTATTTCTTTGCAAATTACTTTGCTTGTTTTAATTTATGAAATACTTGTACTTGTCTAAAAAGTTTTATAATAAAGATCAACATTTCCTGGCTGTAATCTCTACATGCTCAGTCTCAATTTCCAGTTATAACTTTCTCAACATGTTTTTCACTTTTCCAATTATGTTCCTTCATTTTTCTCAAATATTTTGCTAATGCTGCTATTTTATTATGTACACAATCTAGAAATAATATAAAAGTTTTAATATGAGAATGAGCTCATCTTCATAGCTCTTTTATCCTGTTTCTCATCTATGTTCACCAGTCCCTAGCAGTACATCTTTTAAACATTTCCTTTCCTTTATCGTTTATCACTATAACATCATTATATGATATACCAATGGGATTCTAGAACCTGTGCCTTGAGCACAGGTGGATGAAACTGTGGTCAACTGCTCTGTAGCTCTGACAGAACTCCCTGCTGCCATGCTTCTGCACGTGACTGGGCTGTTTTTCTGACACCAAGATTCCCTCTATGCCCACATTCCAAATTGATCCCTTATTCCAGTAATTCCAGTCTGAGCTACCTACTACTATTTCTATATTTTTCCTTTGCTGAATTATCTTTGATGATTTGCATTTAGTGCATTGTTTATTGCTGTATTAGCTTACTTTTTGGATATAAGTAATAGTTGGTATCTTTTCTCTAAAAAATATTTTAAAATTAGGTTTCTTTCATCTTCTGTCTTTCATTTCTAGCTGACTAAACAGACCTTATTCTACAGAGAGGCTCAGCCTTGCCCTTTCAAAGAATGAAAAGAGAGAAAATTATCAATTGCTCAGCTCTTATAATAGCTCAGTTGGGATATAATAATATGAATTCAAGTGAGAGAGTATTGAATAGAGAAGCAAATGACAGAACTTTGAGGCTGAGGAAAAAAGGGAAAAGGCAAAGGAAGAGATAAAGGTCAGCCATAAAGAATGAAAATAAACTAGGGGAACATGGTTCATGAAAGCCAAGAATTCAGATAACTATAAGAACAAGGAAGAGGTCATAAGTGATAATTTCCAGAATTTTTAAATAATGTAAGATGCTGAAAGAAATTTTAGTCTTCAGTGACAAACACATCCTTTGCTACCATCAAGAAAGGCATTTAAAAAAGAAATGTGGTAGCAGAAAACAGATTGCAAATATTGTGAGGCATATATTGTATAAACGTAGTATAGGGAATAATCTTGCTACTATAAAAATAATAAATGTGACAGTGTGATGTGGAGTGAGGCTGAGTGATAGCTAAGCCCAGTTCTACCATTTACTTGTGACATTGGGCAAATCAATTAACCCTTAACCCTCTAGACCTTAATTGACTCATCAGTAAAACTTGAAGTATTATATCAGCTACAACCTAATGCTTTCACTAAATACTTATCTCTCTCCTTAAACAGAGTGTCTGAAAGGAACTTCTGACCTTTTTCTTTTATTTTAATAGGAGAAACTGGAGCATTTTATAGCCAGATTTGGGGGGCAGAAACCTGTGAGAGAACAGAGTGAAGAGGGAAAAAATAAAATAGAAGAGAAAAAGGAGTGTAGTAATTGATGGAGCAAGGTAGGTGTAAAATTTTAGAAGCAATCAAAACTAACTAAGCCAACGGCTCTGTAAATAGAATAGAGATGTTTTTTCATGATGCAGAAAAGATGAACAATCTATTGATAATGACAAAATTTAAAAAGTAAGCTTAAAGAGTCTCATATTAAATGGCTTCTGTCTCAAATTTAAGAAATAATGCCAACTATATGTATGAAAATGGATTAATAGGATTACTGAAAATGTTTGTAATAAATGGTGTAGGGAATGAAAAAAAATTGGAATAATGGTGAGGGCAGAATAATTACAAAGAAAATGGTAAAAGGTAGTAGTAGAATCAATGATCTTTCAAATAATTTTAAAGTATCTTTCCATGTAGATTCAGCTATCTCATGGTACAATATTATAGCAACAGGAAAAACTGGAAGCTGCAATCCACTTCTAGTGGTTCTAGCACATATTGATTTGTTGATTTGATTTGTTGACTAAATTCTTGTTGCAACCTTTATTTGAAAATTTAATTTTGTTTTGTTTGAGGTTAATTGTACAACATTCTGAAGGAGGACCTGAAAATGGAGGTTGGTATCAAAGTTTCTTAGACAGTAAAAATAAATATTTTTCAAGATACACTTATGAATAAAATAAATAGAATTAGGAGTATAAAATCAAGGCTTATTTTCATTGCTTCATTTCCAATTATAATATGCATTTGCAACAGGTCTTAAGATTCTGGAGAATCTGAATATCGAAAAAGAAATTCCAATTTTCCTAATTATCACATTAAATAACATAAGCTATACTGATTTGCTATACATTTGTCTCTCTCAGATATTGTTGATAATCAACTTGATTACAAATAGAAGGATCAAGGGAGCATTCTGAACTTAGTATCATGTGAACTTAATGAAAAAAAAATGAAGAACGGGTTAATAGGGTTAAGAATCAGTTTATATCCCTTTGTCTCTTCTTTGTTTTCATCTCTTATCTTTATCTTTTCAGCTAAATGCATTTCTTCATACTATTCATTTTTTTAAGTTATTGAAGAGGACAGCTCCTGATTGGAATAGTGCTAGTGATTAATGAAAATTAAGACCAACAGAACATTCAGTAAAGATTAAAAGAAAAAAAAAAGTCATGTTTGCTTTTATTGTACTTTTAAATTATTTTTCATGTTTTCAAGTGTCCTATTTTTCTTGTTCTTTACTCACTGACTTGCAATAAAATTAACAAAAATTTCCTTAGTTATTGTTATTAAATCACTTAGAGGTAAAAACATATGTTCATCTATTTAGCATTGGAATGCTTATTTTATAGCATTTACTCAACCAGGTGTATAAATAGAAGAAAACAGGTGGTGGAATATTTAGTTCTACTTCATACTTTATCTTCTGATTTTTTGAAACTGAATCATGGAATAATTCCACTTGATTAGAGAGACGATAAAAGGCAGATGAATATACCCTTTATTACACTGGTATCTTCTAAATTAGCAGTCTTGAAGGACATTCATATCTATCACTCTATCTAGCTAGCATGTTTCTTCTTTATTTGAAGAACAGCTGTTCTTCAAATAGGACCATGCTAAATCTGGTAGATTCTACAACATTCTAGAAAAGATTTTGAAAGCATACATCTTTAGTTATTCAGAATATGTAATTTCATTAAAAAAAAACAAAACTCTAGAATCAAGTTGGTAAAGAAAACCTGAGAAAGAAGGGAATTAGGTTGGAGCTCAAGGTGAAAGTGGGTTAGTTTTGCCTCAGCTCCCCTTTAACAGAAGCACTAGAGTCAGTGGTATTGTCAGTGTTTTCCATCATTTTATACCTCTTTTCATTGTGATTATGTCACCAATAACGATTCTCATTAAAAAAATGAAGATTTAATAGTTCAAAAGGGTGTATCAGTTTTAATTAGCTTTTATTTGCTTATAAATGACATTGGTTGTTATACCATATTTGTTATTAGAGCAGTATATTTTTCTTCTTTTGTTGGTTTCTTACTCATTTTGTCTGGTGTTGTTTCTAATTTAGCTTTTGTCTTATTCAGGTGTATGAGCACTTTTATAGACATTAAAGTTGTCAGCCCTTCATCTACTCTTTTTCCTTGCAATGATTTCCCAAGTGAGTATACTCTACTGATATAAATTTCAAAGTTATATTATAGACATTATCAAAACTTTCATTCTGAATTTTTAAAATATTTTGCTAAAATATTCCCTATGGTATAGAAATTTAATAAATATGTATATATGGTAGCAAATTATATATTATTATGTAATATATATCATATTACATGTTTATAACTATATTACAGTAATAAATTTATATATAGTAACACATTTATACATAGTAAGGAAGTCTTCATATTTCCAAACTGTATCAAATTTTGGAAAAATAATTTTGTTCTCTGAAATTACTTTTCCCTGATAGCTCAGTTGGTAAAGAATCTGCCTGCAATGCAGAAGACCCCAGTTCGATTCCTGGGTCAGGAAGATCCACTAGAGAAAGGATAGGCTACCCACTCCAGCATTCTTGGGCTTCCCTTGTGGCTCAGCTGGTGAAAAATCCACTTGCAATACAGGAGACCAGGGTTCAATCTCTGGGTTGGGAAGATCCCCTGGAGAAGGGAAAGGCTACCCACTCCAAAGTCAGACTTGAGTGACTTTCTCTTTCACTGCATTACTTGTATTTTTCATTTTTCAAGACATGCCTGTGTCATCTTGTTAATGTTTGTTGCTGGGAACAGAGCTGTGCTTACTCCCACCTAATCCCAGGGAGAAATAAATCCTGAAGATTCTATAAACCACTGAGAGTGCTGAAATTTCCTCTGAGTCTATACTTCTTATATTAAGATTTGTAACCTTAGTGCAGGAGTTGAAGAAGTAGTATGCAAGAGAAACAGACTACAGTGAATGGGAATGCCAAAAGGATATCTGGGATCCAGTATCCAACATCTTAATTTCCCACTTTAAATAAATTAGCATAATCCTCTCCCCAAATTCTGTCCAAGCACAGTGGTTGGGCAAAAATATAAGTATTATACTTCTCCTTCCATTTTTCTCTTCTCCTTTATATCTAACTAATGTATTTATTTTTTCCTGGCTTAATTTTTATTTCTACAGGAAGATGATTATATACTATCAAATAATATATTTACATCACTCCCCCACCAATAACCTCACATACAGCTTGTCCTCCAGCTGCTGGGGGCTGCTTCTCTCCATTAAGGGCTCACTTCCCCAGAACTTTGAATAACATTACCATTAAGAACATTATTATGTTTAAACTACTGCACAATTGCACTCATCTCACACGCTAGCAAAGTAATGCTCAAAATTCTCCAAGCTAGGCTTCAACAAGATGTGAACCAGAACTTCCAGATGTTCAAGCTGGATTTAGAAAAGGCAGAGGAACCAGAGATCAAGTTGCCAACATCCACTGGATCATTGAAAAAGCAAGAGAGTTCCNTCAGAGCTATGGCTTTTCTAGTAGTCATCTTTGGATGTGAGAGTTGGACCATAAAGAAAGTTGAACACTGAAGAATTGATGCTTTTGAACCGTTGTTGGAGATGACTCTTGAGAATCCCTTGGACTGTCAGGAGATCAAGCCAGTCAGTCCTAAAGGAAATCAGTTCTGAATATTCATTGGAAGGACTGATGCTGAAGCTGAAGCTCCAATAATTTGGCCACCTGATGCGAAGAACTGACTCATTAGAAAAGACCCTGATGCTAGGAAAGATTGAAGGCAGGAAGACAAGGGGATGGCAGAGGACAAGATGGTTGTATGGCATCACTGACTCGGTGGACATGAGTTTGAGCAAACTCCAGGAGTTGGTGATGATCATGGAAGCCCGGCGTGCCACAGTCCATGGGATCTCAAAGTGTCAGACATGACTGAGTGACTGAAATGAACTAAACTATTAAGAAAACCCTTCTACATAAATGCCCTGTTAAATTAAATATCCTTATAATGAGACAGGTTAAGTCTGCTGTATCTGCCTTTAATTATTTTAATATGCATTAGTGGATTTTAAAGAACCAAAAAAAAAAAAAAGTTGGATCTGTGTGGCTCTTGGACAAAAAGAGGGGGAAAAATCCATTCAAATTATATTTTAGTGTCAGAGAGCAAAAGAAAGGTGATTGCTACTTTAAAAGGCAATAAAATATGTATATCTCCAGCGAAATTGCATTGAATGACTCATGTAATACATTAAAAATATAAATGTACAGAGTTAATTTATTTTCTAATTAAACATCTATGTTTGCTTTAAATTTTAGGGCCTCTAGAGTCATATCTACCTCTAAGCTGTCAGATCATCCATAAATGAATACAAATTACAACTGTAACTGTTATCTTATATCTTAGGTCTCTGAGACATTTGTTATATTTAAATATGTCTAAAATAATTAAAAGCACATGTCACTGAATAGGAGACAAAACACAGTGTATAGTTCCATACAGCTCCTTTAAATGTGTAAAATAAAATCTGCTTCATTTTCTGGTTGAGGTCATTCAGTCAATCAAGCAATGGTTAGACCCAGTATCTGGGTAAGGAAACGAACACAAACTAGGAAATGTGCATGTTTATTTATGGTAACTAAAAATATCAAAGTCACCTGGAATGTTTTGCAGCTGTGACCTTCGTGGCACAGTTTTCTCTGAAACCAGGAGTAAAGTACTGACCAGTAACTCATAATCAAACACATTCCAAGAGATAGAGCTGTTTATTTCTCATTCTGTCAGGTTAGATTCCTTGGCAACTCAGAGGCTAAATGTGCCTTGAAGCAGTAAAACAATTGAAACTTCTAACCTAAGAGTGAACTCCCCAAGGCAATGGGAAAAAATATGGTAGACAATGCGGTGGGGGCAGAAGGAAAACACAGATTAAGTGAACTACAGTAATTCACTATTCAGCAGTGATGCACAGCGCACATAGGAAAACTCTAACCATAATTTTAAGGCCAGGCAATGCTACAGTTCAGCACACTGAAACTGCTCATGCTAAGAAAACAGAAACATATTTTTTCCTGGGCCTAAGCCCTTTAGTCTCCTCAAAGTAATGATAACCACTGGTGCCTGGATAAGAGAAATTTCAAGGGAGCATATCCACACAGTTAGTTCTCAGCAAATCTCTGCTTAAGTTCCCTTTACATCTTGTATAATATATAATGTTTCTTGAGGCCCAAGTCTGGGCTGAGAAGATGTAATCCTCATAAAATCTTACAACGTGGAGTGCATTAGTTTCCTATTGTTGCTAACAAATTACCATAAATATTGTGGCTTGTAAATGTACTGTCTTACATTACTGGAGATCGCAAGTATGAAATGGGTCTTACTGGCTAAAATCAAGGTGTTGGCAGGGCCGCCAACCTGGAGACTCCAGGGAAGAATCGATTTCTTGGCTTTTCCAGCTTTGAGAGGCCACCTACATTCTTTAGCTCAGGGTCCTTTTCTGTCTCCAAAGCTCACAAAAAGTGTCAAATCACTGCAGCCTCTGATGCTGTCGTTACATCTCCTTCACTGACTGCTTCTCTTGCCTCTTTGTAACTAATAAGATCACTGCATTGTGCCCAACAGATAATCCATGATAATCTCCCCCATTTCAAAATGTTTAGTAACCATGTCTTCTAAATCCATTTGCCATGCAAGGCAACAAACGTAAATTCTCATGACTGAAATGTGAGCATTGTTGATGACCCACTATTTCACCTTTTATAGGGCACCCCCACTCTTGTATAGGAAATATTCCAAGAGAGTTGAAGTGACTTGTCACTCAGTCCTTAATCCTTAAAGCCAGAAGACTACATCATTTTTGTACTTTCTATTGCAGTTGTTCATACATGAGGTGCTTTGGTCCAATCCTCTGGCAACCATTAGAAGTTCTAGTTTGCCCAAAAGTTTACAATAAAAGGAACAGCCAAGAAAATCTGGTGTCCAGCTCTAAGGCTCTATGTGACCACCCATATTTCCTGTGAATTCTGCTGACCACAGCTATATTGAAGAGTTTTCAGATATCTGATAAAACTATATTGACACTCAAAAAAAGATGACTCTCTCACAATGGAATATGTTTGTCATGAGCAAGAGAAAAAAGATTCAATAATCATTTTTGAGTTAAGTTTTGGCTTTAATCTGTTGGAACAGGTAATTTTCCCCTACAGATAAATAATAAAAATAAAATGTGAAGGATATTAGATTGCACAAACACCAATTAATAATTGTATCTCTCATTTTTTGACTTCCAGATAAGGTTAACATTAACACTGAATTTATAATTTCTTCTTATTTTGCCAAACTAGAGTATCATAAATTTCCTCTGTTTATGTCAAGAACATAAAATATAATTATAGTACCACATAATACTCATCTTGAACTATAAGAATTACCAAGAGTAAAATACAATCAGGAAAAGGAAAGATCTATTTCTCCTAGCTAAATCATAGGTTTCCATGATACTTAATAAATTGTCAAAAATATAATGAATTCTAAACTTGACCTCCCATTTATTGAGACTATTAAAGTACTATGACAAAATGTAAGGGCACTTTACTTTCCATGTAACTACATGCTATACATGTCCTTTGTTGAAGCTATTACTAGGGATGAATGACTAAAGGAATAAAAGAAGTATTTAGGACAATCTTTTTCTTTATACACAAACACATATTTTTAAAACTTTTACAAGGCCTAAAAGTGATCGATTTTTGAAGGGTGAATTGTAGCTTTTATATATTATTTTCTACATGGTCTTTACTATACTGGGACTAAAAGTAACATTTTCCAAATTCAAGGGGAATATGACACTTATGGTGGTTAAAATGAATAATGTGATCACATTAAGTAATATGATGACTAGAGTTTTAAAAGGTGATGATGTTTTAGAGTACAGTCAAAGAATCTAATTAAAGAAAGGTCTTTCTGTACCTAATCAATAAAATCTGCTCTGGTTTCATTTATCCTTAGTTGTAACTTATGCTGAAGGATCATTTCAGGAAGAAAAAAAATGGCTTGGTACAAGAATTCTGATCTTATATTAGGATTACAACATTAGTTACCCAGATAATTATAAGGTACATATTTTCCTCATATAAAATGATTGTAAGTATTTGACTCATTTCAT